GGTCAGCCCAACTGATAACAATCACGGACACACTTCCACATTGGTTACCAGTTCTCCAGGCGCGCATCCAAGGCAGCATCACCGACCATTGAGCACGTTCGCAATGGGAAGAAACGTATAGTTGGTTATCCAGACCAGATGTATCCTATCGTAACAATGAAGATAAGTCATCCCAACGTGCGTATGTTGACTTTCTCGCAGAAGAACGAGATCTCCGACGAGGTACATCGAACTTGAGAGGTTCACTGGTTGATTACGAGACGCATAAGACCACCGCTACAACCATATCCACAACTGTTGCAGAATTGCACGGACTCATGCGTTGTGACGGCTCAGCTTTGCTTCTTCGCGGTCTCTAGTCAGACATTACAGGGGAAATCGCCGATGTTCACATTCGGACTGATGCAAACAAATTGGTTACGACAGCATCAACGACCCATCAACCAGAACAGAAGACTTGATCCACGGACAGATGCATGATCTTGCACGTGTACGAAGCGAAGATTGCAAAGCCAGATGAGCTCATTAAGGCCGTCCTTACGGGAAAACTGTTGAATGTCGATGCACATCCGCCGTTTCGTACCATGTTGCAGAACAAGGCATTCTTGGCTGAGTGGCTCGCACACAGCACAACCCGACATCTTTGCTATTGCAGGGGTCGGTATAGCAGAATCCATGTTTGCTAATTGGGGAACCTGGCGACATGTCCACAGAATTTGAGGCAGGAATTTCCCCTTTTGACGTCTCAATTCCTCAATGCCGTGTTGACCTTTTGCACTCAGCCATTCTTGAAACTCAAGAAATATGTGTCTGCATCCGCAGCCGATTTGGTTTTCAACATCCCGACCAATTCGATCTTGTATCATACCTGTGTCGATATGCCATTTCTCAGCAATATCTTCGGACTGGCTACACCAAAGCCTGCATCGAAGAGCCCTTGAGGCATTCTCGTCGATGATGAACGAGAAGAACTTGATGACATCCCCATGGAGCAGATGAATGAGGAAGATCCAGCACCATCCAATCCTCAGGCAACCAAGGTGTCGACACGCAGGCCGATTATGATCGAGAACCTGATTCTACGGCGCAAGAACCCGACACAGAGGAAGAAGAGAAGAGGAAGGAGCAACTCTCCGGAGAACGCCATCAGCCCAAGCAGAAGGCCATGCCGATGAATCCACCAACGCTTCGATCGACACCGAAGATCCAGGCATCGCCTCAGAGCGCCATTGATGAGGAGACGGAGTCCGACAACTATCTCAACAACCGGGCACCGTTGATCAATGGCTGGAGGAGTCGTGTGATATTTGAGACGCAAGGTCCAATTGACCTTGTGTGGCTGCAACATAACTTGCTATATGTGCTATATGTGCTATATGGCTCTCACACGCCAACCTGCGGAGTTCCCACACTCCTCCAGGTCACTGCTATTTGTGCTATGTACTATATGGTATCAAGACGCGCGTTATTTACACTATATGTGCTATATAGTGTATATTTGGCACATGTAGTAGTGCTATATGTATAGTATACAGCTCTGTAGGTTGCCTTATAAGAGCCATATGTGCATAGTACGTATAACAAGGAGCCGGGGGAGTGTGGAGGCTCTGCATGTTGCCTTGTAAGAGCCATATAGCACATATAGCATGGCAATGTGAACTTGGTCTCGGCTGGAATGCACTGGTAGGAGATGAGGTCTTTCATTTGTTCGACCTGGGTGAAACGCTGGATTGCATGCCAATGGATCTGGTACATCCGTTGTCCAGGATCGCATAGGTCGGATTGTGCTGAGGGTTGATGACAGGCGCCATCAGCTTTGTTGCCAAAAGGCTCTGCTTTGTTGCGACCTGAAACTGTATCGTCTTGGATGAGCTTCTCGTGGATGGCTTCTTTCTCATGCTGCTGAACGCGTCATGGGATGCCATTAATGCTTGTCCTGTGCTGGATGTCTCACAGGATGAGTACCAGCCTGATTCACTCCAATTCCATGATAGATCCCAATCTTGGTCTGTCCGACCGGCATACGTAGGCTGTGGATGGTGCACTCTGCTGAGTGGCAAACTGCTCCTCCAAATTCTCTGCCGTGGCTGCGAACGCTTTGAAAAAGTGGCTCCGGCGGGAAGTATGACCAGGCATATGGGGGAAAAGGCAAAGGAAAGAAAGGGAAGAAAGGAAATTCGAAATTCCAGCATCCCGATGATGGAAACAAAGGGTATCCATCCTATGACAGTGGCAAAGGAAAAGGCGGACATGACAAAGGAAAATCCGAAAAGGTTTGAAGCCACCTCGTTTGTGACTGCCCTTGTCGCTTCCTGATTTTCCTTTTCCTCTTTTTGAATCTGAAATTTCGCCCAGACACTTTCCTGGCAATGAACACATCATTCTCCTCCAAAACCCAAAAAGCCTCTTCATCATTGGTTGCCATGAATCCTTCCAGTCCTTTTTTCTTCATCTTCCACCCAGAAACCTTCTTAACACTCATATACCCCCTGGTTCCAGGATGTAGAAGGTATTACTCCGATTTCCTCCAGGAGGTCAAATGGATGGATCTTGGTCGTAATGAAGAGATCATGATACTGTGTCTTCAGCAGCTCAGAGGTGTAATTCTCGAGCAAGATGTTTCTCAAAGACATTGCACTGATCAGTCTTTCACTCTGCTGATCTGACAACTCACTTTGGATGATGAAAAATTGTCGCTGAGAGGAAACGCTTTCTTGTGTCTTGTCTGCATGCCGTTGAGGCACTGCCTGAGTACTTTTGGATTGTCTGTGGACAGCAGATCTGGAGGCGTGGCTCTGACACCGGCGCGGCCATTCTTCTTGCATTGGCATCTTGTACTGATGCTATGAACTCTGGTGACTGTGCCGTGTGAACAAGCATCAAGTCCATCCACGCTGCATTCAATCTCATTAAGAGAATTTCAATTTTTGATGTGAATATGAGAAACTTGGTGTTCTGCCTTCTGTGATTGAAGAAACTGTGAAGCCTATATAAGTACACGTTCGTCGAGCCCTGGAAGAACTTCTTCAGCGTGTTCTTGCAAAAGGTCATTCTGGAGGACTGCCTTGCACATGTGAGCGTCTCCGATGAGTCTGCTCTTGAGGAGTCGTCCTCTCTTGGATGCCTTGATGCGAGTTCTTCATATCTAAACCAGCTGACTTTTCCGTCGTACGGTCATCGATAAATTGAGCGCCTCTTCAGTGAAGCCGGATGATCGGCCTACACTTGAATAGGCCTCCATGAAGCCTTCTCCATCGGATGACGGTTTCCGCAGAAAGCCCGCTCCGCTACCACAATTGACCTATTGGATAAGGCGTTGGTCGTGGACCCGCCTATATCCTGGAGGAATCGCCCCCAGCAAGACTGGCGGCGGTAAGCACTACGTGGCATCTTATCCATGAAGGGAACCGATACCTTGTGGTAGTATATAGAGGATCTTTATTTGGTAGGTCTCTGGATCTATTCCGGAGAGTCCAAGTGTCAATACTGATGGATTGATACTCGATTAGCCCTGGTTGACTGTGTGCTGTGGTTTAACCTGAAAGTGGTCCGCTGTAGCACCTTTGTATCACGGACCCAATGGCTCAGTGAGCTATGTACATCTGAGGTGCGACATGAAAGGCCTTGAGCCAAAAATGTTGCATGGAGATCAATGGGTCCGAGGGGGGGGGCTTTGGGCACCAAAAAGGGATGGTTTGGTGCAAGACTAGCCTCATGCTTCTACCAAAGCCACCACTTTGAGAGCCTCCAGAAGCAGTAAAAATCATGAGGCTAGTCATACCTCCGTGATTGCCCCCAGTGCAAAGAGTGAAAAGCTGAAAATACAAATGCTTCCAAAAAGCATGTGGAAGAAGATCTAACTACTGTGGATAGACAAATTGTACACTCTCTGCGGCTGGCATCCCTGGAAAAGCAGCCTCACACAATTTAAATGTCCGCTGCCCAGAACTGCCTACTTGCAACAAACAAAGTATCATGTCCAGGTCCATGATCTGGCTGGCGTTTGGCCCTTTGCAAACAACCTGCCACATGCGCGCAAATGACCTGAATTTCAACCGAGACCATTTGGCGGACATCATGTAGGTGGGGATTCAGGTCCTTTCAGCGCTTGTGAGGTGGTTCCCTGCTAAAATTCATGGTTGTCATATGGGAGTTTCTCAAAGTACGGGTTCGCCCTCAAGGTGGATTTCTTTTCGGAGTAACTCCAAAAACCAGCACAAGCGGGATTGCCCTCAACCAGACCCAAAGGAGGGCAAAATTGGTTGTCATTGTTTTGGCGTCCCCTTAAATCCAAAGGGACAACCAATACGTTGCAGTTGAGACAACAGTTGACGCTGAATTAGCCAACAACTTGAGGATCATTGGATTCATAGTACAACCCCCCGGTGTGTATCATTCCGAGGGTGCAGATCGGTTCGGCTTTCTCAAAGCCAAACCTGTCTTGTGGACCTCCAGGTCTTCTGTTTTATGGGTGCAATAAAACTGGTTGGGGGTCAAGAAACGGGGGAGTGTTTCGTGTTTTATGGCTTCTCCTCAAACGAAGCTGCAAAGGGTACCATCGAAAAACACACCCTCACATGAAAGACCAGTTGAGTGGCGATCAAATCGTCAACTATTGGTTTCATTGTGGGAAGCCGGCCACGAGAGAGGTTCAAAATGGACATGGGTTTCATGTGATATGTCCGGAATGGTGAGCCAACTATAGAACCGCTTCGGGTAGCTGAAGGCTGGTGCCGGCCCCCTTGTCATGAATGTGTGCCGTGGCACGGCGGGCCTTTTGATTCTGTACTTGGACTCCTTGAAACTAGGTTTGGTAATTATGACTTGTACTGTTGGACCAAATCCTGCACCACCTAAGAATCCCTGGCATGATGATTCCCGAACGAAAATACCAACAAACAATGTTTGCCGATGGTTTCCAAGTGGTTCGAAATGGATTTCGTCCACAGTATGGGGATGTGCTTGACCATTCGGATCCATGTCTCGCTGGGCGCCCCTGCAAAGGACTGCCCTGGAGTCGCCCAGATTCGACACCACCTGCCGTCCAAAGCGACTGAATGTGGCACGGCACGAGAGGCACATGGCTTTCAACACTGGCCTTGTCAAATGACATCTTGAGTCTGGAACCGTCTTCCAAGCAAGGTGTGCTAAGCGCTTCTACGAATTCTAAGCGGGAACCACATCAAAAGTGGCGGATATGAATCCCTAGATGATGTCCACTAAAGGTTCCGGGACCCATTCGCATTCGCACCCCATGCAAACGTGCCGGGAAGGCCAGGCGCAGGGCAGTGCCCAATTTCCTCAGACGGAGCAAGTTCACGCCGGCTGCTCGGTTGCAAATCCGTGGCATTACTGGCTGCTCTGGCAACCATTTGCAGCATGGTTACAATCATACCTACAAGCTCGACAAAGCATTAATGCGCCCTAGCCTATAACTCTGGAGGATGGTATCTCAAGTACATGGCATCATCCACTGGTTCACTGAGAAGATCTCATCTGATGACAAGCAGCACCAACCAGAGCACCCGAACCCTGCACAGTTGCCAGAGCTTGGCCGCGGCACGGGTTGCCGTGGAGGATCACTGAGACCTCAGCTCATTCAGATCCCCCAAGGCACTAGAGCTTTCCACAAGGGCTATACCTAACCACCAAAGACTGCGCCAGTGCTAGCAGGTAATCACTGCTCAAAGGGGACCCCTTTCGTAGCTAGGGAAGGATCAAGGATTGGTGTTGACACAGCTCTGGGACAAAGATCACACAGGATCCTGACAGGGACTCCAGTGTTTCTGTCGGAACTCCCAAGTATTCAAAGGGAAACCAAACAGAACACCACCATTTGTGGTGTCCCGTCACTTGCGGACAATAAAACAAACAACACCCAAAATGTCGAGAAGACTCCTATCCGCCATCCGTCCCTGGACAAATCACTGAGGACCCCGGCGCAAGTGGAGCCGACCAGCTCGAACCTTCGCTGTTGAACGGTAACGGGCTACTTCGATCAGCTTCCTCGCGGACTTGAACACCCGATGACCCGAGGTGTCCTTCCTTCAATTTGGCAATGTCTCCTCGCCTGCAAAGAATGCCATTCGCCGAACACTTTCTACTTGCCGGCAGGAGCTTGTTCTTAGAACGTGCATGAGTTCGGTCAGGATGAGGCCGCTTGCTGCATCAGTCACGTGCCAACCAGCAATTTTAGGGAAGGAAGCCCGAGCGGTTGGATGGCTTCCGACTTCCAGTACCCCCAAACCAGTACCCAAAAGGAAAATGGTGGTGTATCACCACTGCATAGCCATATGTAAGGGGTGTATGCCTGCCTGAATTCCCCTCCAAAGTTTGGGGTGGTGAAAATCCTCTTAGAGACACCCGATCAACTCGGACTCGCTCACCCTCGCCTTGCCCAGCTCACACGAGCAAGGCACAATTTGAAACTACTGGTCAGTCACAATGGGTGTTTGCTTCCGAAGAAGCGGCCAAAAATGAACAAGTGCTTCTCACACACACACACACACAAGCTCACACACACACACACTTCCCTGAAAGAGCGTCCGCTTTGTGGGTCATCCCTGGACAGCTACCCAAACACTTCTGCGTGTTTAAGGACCCCCGCTTCTTGCGCTCCGACAGGCCCAGGATCTCCTTATCCGTCTGCAAGAAGGCCTGGCGAGAGGCTTGGCTCTGCCTTTCGTCGAAGCAATCGCCCGTTGGTCCCACCCACAAAATGAGGGGGTCCGCGGACGGTCCGCATTAAAAGACATAGCCATGTTGGCTCTACCGTGGTACAATAACGGTTGACACAGGCTTTACTACACCACGGCCTTATGAAGGTGTATAAAGGTTCTTTGTCTCTGAGTCCTGTCTCTTCATTATAAAGGTTTGTAGAGGCTTTCTAATAAGCCACAAGCCCCAAGCCAGGTAGGAACAGAACCTGACAAAATCGGTGTTGGGCGCTGCTCAAATGGTGAGGCCCCAAAATGGGCGTTGGCTTACTTTTGATGCCAACTTTTGCAAAACCCCCAAAAGGGTACCGAGTCACGCAAGGAAAAAGATGCTGTTCTTTTCTATAGTAGCTCCTTTGGGGCTGTTTTGAAGCGACACCAAATTGAAACAGGGGTTCCCAATTTGGAGACAAACCCACTTCGGGCCGTGTGGGCTTTGAACAACTTGGGCCGGAAACCAAAAAGCGGCAACGTTGTACGACAATCCGGCACAGCTGAAAAGAACAGAAACAAGAGCACTAGAAACCAGGGCACTAAGTACATGAGGGCAGTACTTGCCCAGCAAAACGCCCTTGGCATTCAACCAGCTGCTAGATGGTCCGATATGCTTAAAATTAAAAAAAAGTCACATCGGCGCCACTACTCTGAAAAGGTCCCAAAAAGTTGATCATCTAAAATGTGTTGTTGTCCGGTTCTGGGGTTGATACCTATGCGCCGCCAGCTTGCCATTTGACAAACGATTCATGGTTCTGGAACTCCTTGAACCTGACTGAGTCAAAAGAACTCACAGTCCTCAAATAGGGGACGGTCGCTTCTAATCATTGTCCAACAATCGATCACCGTTTGATGGTTGAGCCACCTATCTCAAAAGTACCACTTCCCATATGGGTTTGCTTGACAAGCTAGATGGGCTCACAAGATTCCGTCAGTTCAAATCGACATGTGTCGCATGTTGGGCCTGGGAAACGATTTCATGCCAGCCCGTGCGTGAAAGTATCAGCTGCGTAACATCCTCTGCTCATCAGCGGCGGCCCCAAGGGGGGCCAGGTGGCTTTCTGAGGGCGCAAAGGTGCAGCCACATCGGGCGCAAGGAACTCGGGCTGTGCATGAACCCAGATGCGCAGCCCTAGTAGGGCAAGGGCAAGGGGCTGCTGGCGGTCAAAGCCACAGGCATTGTGAAGGGCAAGACGGGGCGAACGCCCGCTTGCGACATGGGTCGTGGGCTGGTCGGAATCCAAAGAAGGATCTGACCGCTTCCCGGCCCTGGGGGCGAGGCGGATTGATGGTTTAGACTTGTGCAACACATTTGTTCATGGTGGATAGTAGTGATGGCTTAAAAAGCGGTCGATTGTTCTTTTCGGGGAGTGTAGTGGTTGACCGTGATGGTTTTAAACGGTTTACAATGATATGTTTGGTTTAGAAATGCAGAAGTATACATACATACATACATACATACATATATGTGTTGGTATGGTTAGCAACTGATTGTTATTTGGGAGGACTCCATTTCATCACTGGGTTCAGGGTATGGTATCCACAGGCGGTTCTCTCAAGCGGCAAAGCTCTACAATTCGCATTCACAAATGACCGGTTGTGACTGGGATGTAACATTAAAGGACAACCAACCTTACTACGCTTTAAACACCCTTATGACCCACCATGATTGCCAGAATAGTTACACCTCTAGGGGTGATAAATCAGCAGAATCCAGTACTTCCCAATCGTCTGTGCCCATGCTGTAGAAGAAGGCTCACACAGGACGCCGAAGGCCTATAGTACCATCCATGATCGAGCACTACAAATGCTCACCGAGATGGTATGGTGTTCAGTCAGCTTGCGACCTCGACGCACCTGTTTTGAGCGTGGAATAAACAGTCAGACTCAGTCAGACGCTAAAAAAGAGCTGCACAAGGCATGCTCATACATTCCCGCACGAATTGTCATAGAAGACATTCGATGGGAAACAAGCAGAACTCGACACTCGCTGGCTTCATTGCAAAGAGTAGACTTGTGCAAATCAAGCCTATCAGGCAAGTCTACAACCAACTTCAATCACATATTGCAATGTCCATCAATGGCGGAGCAAGGACGTCAAGCAAACTGCCACAGCCGCAAGGCTAATCAGCCACCAAGGCCAGGACGATTCGCTCTGTTGTCCATCTCTTGCAGCCGGCTCTCGGCTGTAGTCCTGCAAGTGCCTCTGCTGCGGATGCTGCATCTTCTCGCGCTCCCTGCGTCTCAAGGCATCCATGCTGCAGAACATAATGTTGACTCCCGGGCGGAGGAAGCTCCGGATCCTCACGCGCCAAGAGTCATAGACCGCGTACACGTTCAACCCAATGATCTTCACCTCAGTAAGGCGTCAAAATTCCTATTGGTCAGTGCTCATTCCTGCATCTGTATCTACCATCTTGTGTGAACCTTAAGACCGTTCCCACTAACTTTACCATCTCACTTCTCTAAATCTCTGTGGTTGTTGCAAGTTCTCATGAGATGTGAGTTTACAAACACCACACCAATCTGCTGCTGCAAGCCCCAGTGTCGGAGTCACAGCCTTCGCGCGCCACGTCTCTTCTGTCAACCGTGCCCTTGTGAGCCCGCGCCCGTTGCGGAACTTGCGGCAAGCAGCATCTGGGTCCGAGGAAAAGTAGATGGCACCGCCCGCAAAGCCACGGGAGCCACACTCGAAGCCTGATCGCTCGATGGCATCCGCGGCACCTTCAGTCGTTGCGTGGTACAAGGGCGCCATTCGAAACAAGTTGAAGCCAGGCCAGCTCGGGGTGGCAGACTACGGGGTGGCAGACTACGCAGCTGTGGGTGTGGCCAGAGGCTACCCCCAACAATCCGAGCTAGCTGGATTGGTAACCCCTGAAAATCAGCAAGGGTGGGGCCAATCCACTGTTTCAACATGAACCCCGATTGTTTCAACGTCCTTCTGGCACCAACCAAAGTCAGGGTGTCCCTTTTGCTGAGTTTGCACATCACCCTCATTGCCAAAGGGCTTCTTTTCGTGAACCTTGCAGAATGGGTGGTTTGGGAGGTGGGAAAACCTAGCGACAGGGTTCCATTTGTGGGCTACCAGGTCTTAAACCAAGCTGATTTGCCCACGAAGGGACCAAGGGTTTTAGTCCACCTGTGTCTTCTTTTACCCCAAAATGGTGGAATTGTCCGTTTGGTGTCCACTTGAAACCCCGAAAAAAGGGGCAGGGTGGATGCCCTAAATATTGCAAGCAGGGAACAAGGTGGAAACCCTGTCAATTCCGTGTGTGGCTGGTGTATTTGCAAAAATATTACACCTTGGAAACCCTCCACCGCTCGCGGGAATGGAAACCCGAGCGAGCCACTCGCGACCTTCGCCCAGAAACGCTTCGTCCGCCTCCTTGATGGCCATCTTGATCTTCTCGTCCCGCGAGGCGGGCTGAACCTCTCGCGACGCGCCAGGTCTGCACGACTCGGAGGTGAGTCAGCCACAAGGCTTCCGACCCTCCCAATTAACAGGCGGGTCCTGGTTTGGATCATGTTCCTTTTAAGGGGACCCCGAATTTCAGGTTCCACGGAAAAGGGTGGGAGGGTAAATAAAACAAAAAGTTGTCTTGAGTCACAAAAGCCATGGTGGTTCTTGCTTTGAAAAAGGAAAACCACAGATGTTTGCTTGACAAAACCCTAGGGCTGCTGAAGGTGCACCCCGAAGGCTTAGGAGCCCAACGTGAAATGCGCTTGAGATGCTCGTTCTGGTCCGAGAGGGCATGTGAGGATGGAGTTGGCCCCCCGGTTTTTGTAATGACATGTGACGGAATGATGGACAATGGGCTGTTGCTGCCAACAAGTCAGATCCTGGTGCTCTGGCTCGAGTACTGAGTCTAGTATCATGGTTGGACATATTGAGGCTGCTGCTTTTGGGGTCTCTTTTGGAGACTAAGGGCTGGCATTTGCAACACATAGATAACGCGCGTTGTGTGTGTGTGTGTGCTTGTTGTTAAACTTGGAGCAACTGTATACCTAATTACCTGATGTGATGAACCTGTGTGTGAAGTGAAGCGCAGTTGTTTTCCTCTGGGCAATGATGTACTGTCTACTGTAGCTGTACTAAGGCAGGTCTGTACATAGGCTCAAGGCCTTGGGATGTATGAGCAGCGGATGTAGCCCAACTGTACTGCTCGAGAAGCATGTAGTATTTAACACGCCTCCTCAGGATAATGTTGTACACATTCTCCTGAAATGTTGAAAATGGATGTTGCCACTGTACAAAAGATGTGTACCAAGCTGTGCAACTTCCTTGTGGGTCGTGGTGTCAAAAGCAGGTGTAAAACAGCTGCTGTTTCAAGCAAATGTTGTATCCAGCTGGCCGACTGTGCCACTCATGTGCGCCAAAAATCGCAGTTGTGTGAACCATGATGTTTGTGCATTTCTTGGCCTCTTTCCAGACACTGCTGTAACCTCGTCCATGTTGGCTGCTGCTGATGAGCTCCTCGCACGACGTGTTCACCTGGCTGATGTACTTGAGGATCTGCACACCCGAGTACTCAATCACATGTTGCAGTCTGTAGGTGGCTCAAGCTGACCATGGCGTTGTAATCCCAAGCCAAACCGTTGGTCCATGAAGATGTCGAGAACATTGTATTGGCAAATCTTGTGCTCTGAAGAGGTAGGTAGGTCAAAGTTGTGAGAGCATCGAATGGACTGGTGTTGTAGATCATGTGCTCGCAAAATGGCCTCCTTATGTTGGCCTGCAGTCCAGTGTAATCACCATTCAAACTGTTGTATTCTTTTGCAGGAAAAGCGATGTACAGAACACGGTTTGTGCCTGTGGTCTTCTCGACTCGGTGTGCCACTCCATGATGTTGCGCGCCTCCTTGCCGTTGACGCAATTGATGTTGTGAAATCCCACAAATGTCAGCGATGTAAACAAGTGCGCGCCGTATCGCCTTCCGGTGTGTCTCTGATGTAGCACGCGCTGTCAAGGCCTGCGTGTCCATTGGTCCGATGTATCAGGAAGAACGTACCTCACTGATGTAAAAGGTAAAAAGGGTGCAAATCCATGTTTGACATGTATCTTGCAGAAAAACCATTGTAAGGGGGGTTGTAGAACTCCCAGAAAATATGTACCATGGCTCCGGATATCCTAAGTGAAACTGAGTTGTAGCGCTTTCACTTTCGTTGTAGAGAAGGAAAGGTGTCCTGCGCAACTGTTGTTTAACAAACTGTGCTGACAACTGTACTTACTGGTGTGAAACGGTTGCGATGGCCTCACAGGCCAACTGTGTGCATGTGCTTGTGAATGTGGTTTGCTTTCTTTGATGCACCTTCTCGCATCGTGATTGACTAAGCTGCGCTTCTGTCTGTGTGTATCCTGATGTTGGTGCGTACTCCAAGTGCTTCCTTGATGAAGTTGCTGATGTAGAGGCTCTCCTGTGCTGCTGCACCAGCCCTGACTCTGCTGATGAAAGTGCCATTGTTGCTTGTGCTATACTTCCACAAGTGTGTCGCTGCTCCGAACAAGTGTATCACAAATCCTGTTGCGCTCTTTCTTGTTGTCGCGCATGATGCCCAGTTGGCATCTGTGTGTGTGTATCGATGTTGAGTGGGATTCGCTTGTCCTGTGTCTGTATCTTTGGTTGCAGGTTGTGTCGCAAGTACCTTGTGCCTTTAAGGTACCTTATCATGCGCTTGAGCTTCTTGTTGTCAAGTCGTGTTGGTGCTTGTAGTGATCTTGCTAGCTCTTTTGCTCCATAGCTGATGTCTGGTCGTGTGTGTGCTGGCCGTTATATCTTGCCAACAAGCCGCCTGTATTGCTTGTGCTGCTGTTCGTGGTCGAGTGGTGCTCCATCTTCTGCTGTACCTCTCATGTGTGACACTCCTGGTGATGGTGCTGGGTCGCATGTAGTTTCCTGATTCTTCCAGGATGATGTCAACGTAGTTGTTGTTCAAGCTTGTGTCGATGTAGTTGCCTTTGTGTGAAATGCTCCTGCCAAGGCAATGTGTTGTTGTGCCTACATTGAGGTTGCTTGTGTGTCTCAGCAGTGCTTCTTGTATTCTGCTGAACAGTGTGTCAATGATGCTCTGTACTCCTATGAGTAGGAGGTCGTCTACACAGATCATGATGTCGACCTGGCAGTCCTTTGACCTGTAGACATGGCTTTCTGTTGCGCATCTCACAAGTTCAAGTGTAACTGTGAGGATGTGTGCTTTGTGGACTTGCCATTATTTCGGTGATGATCTTAAGCCGTAGATTGCTTTGTTCAGCCGCCACATTATGTGTTTGTTTGCTTCGTTGTAGAATTCTTTTGGTGGTCTTATTTCCAAGTTGTAGGAGATTGCTGCTGCATGTAGGAATGCAACCCTGACATCTCCGGTACAGACTGACCAGTTGTACACAAGTGCCATTATACTACACTGAGGGTACAAAACAGTGGTGTGCTTGCAAAGAGTATGTCATGGTCTGTAACAGGTTCTGTGTAGCCCTTTGCTACTGTTCGCGCTCGTGCTTCGTTGTGTTTTGGTTTAAGAACCCATCTTGGTTTAATGATGTTTGCTCCTTGTTCTGGTGTCATTGTGTTGCCATCAATCTCTGTAAAGACTGATTGGTCTTTCATTTGTTGCACTTCTTTCTTCACGCCTTGTGAAACGTGTTGTGGGTCCAAGCCTTCTGTGTCATGTGTGGTCGGCTCTAGTAGGATCCTTTCGTTGTCGGTTTCTTCTGTGCCCTCGCTGGATGTTGTCTCCATTTGTTTGCCATCTCTGGTTGTAAGCTTGGTGGCACTCATCCTCATTTTGGCTTTTTGGTTGTTCTGTTGTTGTAGCCGCTCCAGCGCCTGTCTGTCTGCTGTGATGCGCTGTTGCTTGTCTGCCTTCTGCTATTGTGTCATCTCTTTCTCCTGTGTGATGTAGGCGGTGGTGCTGGCAACGCCGGTCCTTTCTGATGTGTTGGTAATGTAGCCATTGGTGATGTTGGCTCTGCTGTCTTCTTCTGCTTTGTGCGCTGATTACTCGATTGTGATGCGCTCTGTCTCTTGCTTGTTGCTGCATCCTTCTGAGATGCGAGTGCTTTGCTTGCTGCTGGCATTGTAACTGGTGTTGTGAGAGTAGGTGTAGGCAGTGCTGATGCTGGTGTCTTCCATGGACCTGTGTGTACACAGTTCAGTAGTTGCTGATTGTATTTGTGAGGCATTATCTGCCTTCTGATTGTCCTTGCTCTCACAATCCTGTTGTGGGTCCCAATGAGGGACTCGCCTGTAGTTGTATCCTTGCCAAGCCAGATCCCGTTGTAGAACCTCGGCTCGGGTTTTGGAAATTGTGTCACTGTTGGTAGCATGTACTGCACTGTCTCACCAAACTCGCAAAGTGGTGTATGTTGCTCTCGGTTCTATTTGTTGAAGTAGCTTGTGCATCCATTGCTGTGAATCGCAACTCTGTTCATGATGTATGCACTGTGTCGAACTATCCAAGGCATGAGTGATGTTGCCATTCTTGTTTGCCACTGCTGTGATCGCTGTCAGGAAGTCTCCTGATCTGGTTGTAGTACGGTGTGTGATGTTCTTCCACATTCAATGAGGAAGTGCTGTAGCTGTGTGAGCAAAGTCGGTCAGCTGTGTGGCCATGATCATCCCTGGTTGCATGTCAATTGCTGTGAGGATTGTTGCTGTCATCAAAGCCCTTGCTGTAGCCGAAGCCAAGCTGTGTGATTGGAAGCTTGCTGTGTTGCTTTGGGCGATTGTTCTGTCTGCCTCTTGCTTGTACGCATGTTGGACACCAACTTCTGTAGGGGAGGTGTGTTACGTTGTGCTTGAGTATTTCCTGTGGTGTTGGTTGCTTGGGTGCTTGTACTGCTTTTGCTCTTGTGCCTTGCTGTTGCTCCTCATCGTCTGACTCAAGTTGTGTTGGAAGCTCCTGATGTTCCTCAAAGTTTGCCAGCCTGTCCAAGGCTTGTCTGATGTCTTCGCTTGCTGTGTTGCGCATTCATCTTCTACTAATCTTGTGTTGCGCTCATCTCCTACTGGTTGTACCTTGGTCTGCCGCCAGGTGTAAGTCGCTTGATGTCTGGCCCGTCATGTGTCTGCTCTGGTGTGTAAAACGCTGTGTATGTGGCTTGATGTGTACTCTCTTCCAGTGTGGGCCTTCTCTGCGCCAGTAGTCTCCTCCATGATGTACTTCTGCAGGATGTGGTAGTCCTTGTCCAGCTGCACCTTTGGTGGTGTGTGGTGCTGCTGTGTCCTGTGCTGTTGGTGGTCTTGTTTTCTCTCTCAGTCGTGTGCGCGGATCGTACTGAATTACTTATGGTGTGACCTTCTGTAGCTCGCTCCTTGGCTGCGTCTTTGTTGCAAACTGTTGCTGTAGTGTTTCTGGCAATGTTGTGCTTTTCTTGATCCTGAGTGCTGTTTCTCCTTTTCACATTTGCTGTTGTTTGGAGCATCTGTTATTTGGCACTTGTCCTCAAACGTGTTCGATGCGCCATCCTTGGATCTGATTCTTCTGTAGTCCTCAAGTTGTTCTGCTGGGACTGGACACTGTGTTCTTGATGGTGTGAAGAGTGTCTTCCTGCATTGTCTGTGTGCTCTGACAAGTTTACCTTGTGTGTTGAACTGCCAGTGGTCTCCTGTGTCTGCAGGACCTTGTGGTGTAAGCGTTGTGGTCGGTGCTATCATGCCAACCTGTTCTTGCTGTGTGCTGTGTATCTGTAGCTTTGTTCCTCTTGGCAGTGTTGTGATTTCTGCTTGTTGGAAGAACAGGCCATCTCTGTTCTCCAATGCGCTGTTGAATCCTTTGGTGCGCTGTAGTCTTGGATTGTCATCCAGTGCAAGTTGGAAACCTTGTTCCACCAGCCTTGTAACCGAAAGAATTGGCTGTTTAACCTCACAAACGTAAAATGGTATGACAGTCTGTTGTCCACTGTGGTTTGTCACGCAAACCCATCTGTACCCGTGATAGCTTGATGTGTTGGTTGGTCACAGTTCTCAGTTGTGGTCCTGTTCGAGGTGCTGTAGTGGAAATTGTGTTGCAAACCATGGTGGGCATACAGGTGTAGCCGCACCGCTGTCAATCATGAGACTGACCCACTCGTTATCTTCTGTGAATTGTTGTGCTGCGCCAATCATGGCAATTGTTACTTCTTGTAATCCTGAGATGGGTACTGCTGATGAATCTGCTGGTTGTGGCAGTGCTAGTTGTTGCATCTGTGTCTGATCCTGGTGGTACCAGTTGCTGCCATGGTGCCTGACTGTACCAGTCATCTGTCTGGTCAGTGGTGTCGAAGTTGCCAGTGTCGCAGTTGTAGATCGCCACTTTACATTGTTTGGCCATGTGTCCTGGTTGTCCGCATCTGTAGCAATCATTTGTTGCTTTCTTTCCTTTTGGCTCCTTTTCCTTCTGCTTGATTGCTGTAGTATCCCTTGCCTTTTCCTTTGTCGCCTTTTGCTCCTTTTCCTCCTGGTTGATTGTTGTAGTATCCCTTGCCTTTTCCTTTGTTGCTGTATCCTTTGCCTTTGCCATATCCTTGTTGTCCTTGTATCCTTTGCCTTTTCCTTTGTTGCTCTATCCTTTGCCTTTGCCATATCCTTGTTGTCCTTGTATCCTTTGCCTTTTCCTTTGTTGCTCTATCCTTTTCCTTTGAAAGGATTTCCTTGTCCAACCGGTTGTTGATTGTATTTGCCTTTTCCTCCTTTGTAGTTGTTGTAGCTGTAGTTGTTCCCGTAGCCGCCATAGCCTTTGCCTTTGTTGTACGTTCCTTTGCCCTTGCGCTTGCCTTTGTGTCCTTTGCCTTTGTTGTACTACTTTGCTCCTATGTCCATTGGTGCTGGTCCTCGGTTGTTGCTGTTGCCTGATGTGATTGCTTGTAGCCTGTTGGGTGATGATGCTGCTCTGTGGTATCCTGCTTGTAACTGTAGGTGTTGCTGTAGTGGTCCTTTTGTCTCATTGAGCAGTGTTGCGATTGTGACTGCATCTGGTAGCGGTGTGTGGTTGTCTTGTTCGTACTTGGCGAGTTGAAACTCCCATGTTGTAAAGCTCTCTTCGAACTTCTGTTCATCGAGCTGTGGTTTGAGTAACCTTGTTAGGTACCCAATGCCTCGTGTGCCTAGTGGTATGGAGTATCTTAGGTGTAGTGGCCGCCATGTCTCGACGCTGTTGCCTTGCGCGTTTTGTCTGCAAATTGTAGATGCTGGTCCATCGCATGTGCTCACCAAGATGTAGTGTAAGTTGTTGCTCAGTTGTATCCATGCTCTGCTACTGCTTGTGAAGGTGCTGCTGTCTCAAGTTAGCCGTTTGTAGCTGGCAGTTGCGATTGCTCTGACTGTCTCAGCAGTCTGTTGTATGAAGGGTCTTGTAGCCCGTACATTCTTCGAACATGTTGTATTCTCCTGGTGGTGCTACCTTGTACTTGTGAATTGCTTCGAGCTGATGCTGTTGCTCTTGTTGTTGTTGTTGGGCCGCCGTTCCTTGCGTGTTGTATGGAAAGGCCGCCAGATCTTTCTAGGTGCGTAACTGTGTTCACTGCTGTATGCCTGAACCTGTGGGTGCGTGTTGGAGCTCACCCTGGGTAGTGTGTGTGGATCGTGTACCAGGGATCACTGCTCCGCTACCATGTTAAACTTGGAGCAACTGTATACCTAATTACCTGATGTGATGAACCTGTGTGTGAAGTGAAGCGCAGTTGTTTTCCTCTGGGCAATGATGTACTGTCTACTGTAGCTGTACTAAGGCAGGTCTGTACATAGGCTCAAGGCCTTGGGATGTATGGGCAGCGGATGTAGCCCAACTGTACTGCTCGAGAAGCATGTAGTATTTAACACTTGTATATATATATATATATATGAAAAGACATTGGAGGCGGCTTTATTGTACTTTGTTTGTGGAGATCTTCCACGTACTGGCAGACTCGAATGGAAATGATCAAACTGGGGCCCAGGATCACGCAGCTTCTTACATCACGAACAAAATGAAACATATGGAAAGATAGATAGATAGATAGATAGATAGATAGATAGATAGATAGATAGATAAATAGATAGATAGATAGATAGATACATAGATAGATAGATAGATAGATAGATGGATAGACGAATAGATAGACAGATAGACAGACAGACAGGCAGATAGATAGATAAGATAGATAAGATAGAATAGAATAGAATAGAATAGAACAGAACAGAATAGAATTGAACAGAATAGAATGCAATAAAAAGATGGATAGATAGACAGATAAATATATGGATAGATAGATGGATGGATAGATAGATAGACAAATAGATAGACAGACAGACAGACAGACAGACAGATAGATAAGATAGATAAGATAGAATAGAGTAGAATAGAGTACAGTAGAATAGAATTGAATAGAATAGAATAGAGTACAGTAGAATAGAATAGAATAGACTATAACAGAACAGAATAGAGTAGAATTGAAAGATAGATAGATAGATAGATAGATAGCTAGACAGATAGATATATAGATAGATAGATAGATAGATAGAAAGATAGATAGATAGACAGGTAGATAGGTAGATAGATAGGGAGGTAGGTAGGTAGGTAGATGCAAAGAATGATGGATATTATGTATATATCCTATTTGTGCAAACAACTTGAGCTTCGCTTTCTGAGTCAATCAAGATCAAATCTGCCAAACAAGTACAGCAGTGTGGGGCAAGAGCACTCAACATCATCCATGAGACAAGCAAGCCGCAAACGAAGATATGATGTAGTCAACAGCACCGTCAATCCCCAACATACGAGAGCATCCTGGAGTGAAGGGGACAAGTGGCGCACTTGCAAACCCTCGCCATGTCATGTCAGTGAGCTGGAATTTCGCTCACCCAGACAAGGCCTGCTTCTGGCGCATTTGCTGAAGGACGTTCCTCAGTGGAAGCCGGCAAACGTAGTCATTCAGGCGAAGAAACGACCCAACACATGAAGGGAGCATGCACCCAAGGCATCCTCTTTTAGGCCATCTGTTTACTTCATTCGGTTGGTGGGGATCTGCGGGTTCCTGGAGTTCGGCATTGACCATAGAGACATCATTCAGAGGCGGTTGCTTCAAAACTCCTAGAGGCAAAGCATGTCATCATGTTCCCTGTCAATCCCCTTAAACAACATATCCCATGAATGGGAACTTCAACACGTTAGCAAAGTGCTTGCATCTTGCAAAGTGTTGTCAAGACCTTCTGTCTTTGAGTGACTGGTCGAATCTGGCCGCTCGGAATGGCAAGGCCTTGCACAAGTACCCAAGTTCAGAGTTAAATCTCGAGCATCGTTCTGTTGTTATCGGGAACCTCCGAACCTCCTCAAGGTTGTTCCGAACATCTTAGCACAATGGTAAAATGTGACCCTCGACAAAGGAGAACAAAAGGACCCTATATCATTCTTCCAGTGTGTCTTGGTCTTTGTTTTGAGCGTCGCAACCAAACCTCCTGACATCCGAGCAGTAGGAGCCAGGCGCGGTGTGTACAAAAACCAGGGACTTAATAAGTACGAGCCGATGACTCGCGCTTGCTAGGATTTCCTCATTGAAGATCAGTACTTGGCATTTAAGAGCACAAGCAGGGGGCTCCCCATCTTCACCCTACCAAGGGAAACTCGCTTCAAAGGGCACCAAATGGCACCAAACAGCAGAAGTGCATCCACCCCATCCCGCTCGCTCCACTTGACTCGAGGTGCTTGTGCAGCTTCTCCTTGGCCATATCGGCCACCTGACACGAAGCCCCTAAATATCCCTGGCATGATGATTCCCTTGTAAATAACAACAAACAATGGTTTCAGCCATGGTTTCCAAGTGGTGCGAACAGATTTGGTCCACCGACAGTAGGGGTTCTTCCAGAAAGGTCCATCAGTAGGGTTTAGCGGAAGGCATCAATTTACATTTTATAACTTTATGGGTGTGTTGATTGAGGCGCCACGAACGGTCGGGACTCGTATTTTGACACATACCCAGATGTACCGTGGTAAATCAGTCGTCATGTGGAAGAAAGCCATTGGGCTTGCTCATTGCCAAAGAAAAAGACCTATGAAGCCTTACCGTGGTTGCTAGCTTCTCTAGGGGTCCATGACCAGCAACATGAAAGTCGACATTGTGTCATGTCAGCTTCCATGAGTTGGAAAGAGGGCAACTTCTCTAGCAAGGGGTCCATGTTTCTTACCATGGCATATTTCTCAGGGGCAAGCTATCCGTGCTTTTTGAACTTCAACAGGTCTCTAGCTGGTGCATGTGTTTTCCTTAGCAAAAGCACAACACCAAGATGGAGCAGCGGTTAACATTATTGTGTGCGTTGCAAGTTCGAGTTGCTCGCTTCTTGGAGCAGAAAGCCTTACACGCGTTCCAACATTCTTCGTATGCCTCCTCAACAAACTCTAGCGACCCAATCCAAGTTGTGGCTTGAAGCAAGCATGTCCGGCGACATAGCACCAAGGATGCCAGTCCACTCTCACATGTCCCAAGGCACGGCGTCCGCCACACTCCGGCAACCCCTGGGTTTCAAACTTGCTGTAAGATCAGGCTGGTCTTCGGTCTCTGTCGAGCGCTGTTGAATATGTGGATCATGGTCATGTTTGTGACCATGGAATGACATATATATATATATTATGTATTCATACATATGTATACATAAATAAATATAAATATATATATATGTATATATATATATATGTATATAAATATGTGTGTATTATGTATTGTCTATATTCAAAACAATGTGGGATCTCAGCCCCTCACTCAGCTGGCAAACCTCACTGTCACCCAGCCCGCCGCCCGCCTGAGTGCCGCCGTGACCGTCCAGCACCGCAAAGTACACCCCCAACTCCTCGGGCCGAAGGCGCAGAGTTGCCGCTTTCTGACCGAGGCCACGCCAGGCCCGACCTTCAGAACCAGAGGCTTGCCGTCCCGGTTTTACCAGACGAGAGGAAGACGACATGTCCGGCTTGGAGAGAAGTCTGGAAGAGTGCAATCTGAATAATTGCGTCAATCCTCTGGCCAGTGGCACTGGTGAAAGAAATGCAAATTATACGATAACCACCACAGTCATGTCAGTTCCGGAGCTGACGTGGGTTTGCGCTCGCTTCTGGACTGTGGTGTTGCAAAAACAAGCAGAAGACACCATGCAGTACATTGGCAACACTCAAGGTCCGCCAGCATTATTTCTTTATAACCACAATAACCAGACTGAAGGCTGTGGCAGAATGCCTTGGTCAATGCCTGTCCTTTCCTGCCGACAACCCCACCAACGCAGCTGGTCTATCCAAGCATCTGGGGAATTGATCCCTACAGGGTCGAATTCGTGAGTGGCTGCCGCAAACAAACAAAAAGCACTTCAGCTTTTGTTCCTGAACTACACCATTTTTCGGAGAGTCTGGTCCAAAATGCGTGAACCTCAAGGCGCATGATGTCAGTCCCAACCCCCCAACTGGCCTCCAAAGGCTCATCCATCACGTAGCGGTCCTGCAGCGTCTTCTTGAGCCCAGGCCTGTCACATGCAGTTGGATCGGACAAAGGCCTTGCTGCGCATGCCTGCCCCTCGATCTTCCCACCCTCACACGAGACCGAATGTTTCTCTGAAGCAGTGGAAAACCGTGCTCTGAAAAGCATGGTTTAAGTCATGTCAACCGCCGAGGCATTGAAGCATATAGAAGCAGTGTTTCTCCCAAGCCATGGCTACACAGCCAAGCAGCTCAGCCCAGTCAAATTGACACAACTCCATGGCAAGGATATTATGGTATACAAACGTGTAAAAGCCAAAGACCTCTGCGGAGAGCAAGAGAGAGGTTACCAACATATGACCTCCCGTCTTGCTACTCACCTGCTCCCATGGGGATGCAGGCGTGTCTCAACCCCACGCCGCCCGAGTGCCCCACCAGCTCTCAGCATGCACGCGGAGGCCCAGGGACTCTGCGGACACGTGGTAGCTCTTCTTCTTCTCCTGTCGAACATCATAAGTTGCTTTTCAAAACCACACCCATCGGCTCAAAAAAGTAGCAACCCCGGGAAAGCGGGAAAATAAGGAGAGCAACCCAGGGCCCCAAGCAGGGCTGGACACCAGCGGCACTCGCTGAAGTCCCTTTCAGGACCGCATAGGAAAGCAGGCTCATGGGGGGGGGGAGGGAGGGAGGGAGGGAGCCCAAATAAGCCCCTAAGGCCTTATTTGGGGCTTATTTGGGCTCCCCCTCCCCTCCCTCCCCCCGGCCCCCATGACGGGCCTAATGCGCGGGGCTCAAGCCAGAAGGAGAACACTCACCCCATCGGGTGGGGCAAACCCGTTCGCTCCTCCAGCGTCTGCGCCCCTGCGTGGATTGGCAAGGGCTTGCCATCGGCGCCTCAGTCGCTTGCTTACATCACCTCTAAAGGATCTGACGCCTCTGAAGGGTCCTTTTGGCCCTTTGGAGATGTGTGTGTGTGTGGTGTGTGTGTGTGTGTGTTGTCTTCTTTTGTCTCTTCTTTTTGGGGGGGAGCCATTCAGTTCAATATATGTCTTTGTGAGTTTGCCGGAATTGTTGACCAAACCTTCATTGAGAGGTGAAGGAAAAGAACGTTAACAGGCAAATGAACAAGTGGTCTTGGTGGACTGATGCAAGTACGCGATGTGCGTACGTACATATATGTACCAAATATGATACACACTTACACATAACTGGGTACATGTGTGTACCTGTATACATTCGTTGTGGATGGAAACGTAGATGTATATGAACATATACATGTATGGCATGTCTGTGTTGTATGAAGAAATAAGCATGTGCATCCAAAAAGGATGATGTATGTATGCACATGCTTGAAAGGAGGCGTACCTTCTCTTTGGACCCTAGAAATCATTAGATCCACTGCACGAACTCTGAACACCCTGACATGGGCAACAGAAGGTAGAGCTCACATAATTTCTGACCTCTAGGAAGCTCAACAAAGAGGCTTCCCTTCCACAAACCGGCAGGGGCAATTCACCTCTGCTCAAGGATCCACTCGCTGCAGAAATTGCAACCCACTTCCAAATCAGGATCCCCAAACCACAATTACAGAGCAACGTGGGGGTGTGGTGGTGGGCTTAAGCTGGTAGTGCCAGCCTCTCCCTGCCCATTCTTTGCTCCCGAGCCCAGCATCAGCACCTCCAACGCGCAGGGCTTGCTGTCCTGCATGCCCTGTTTGAAGCTCACCTTCCGGCAATGAGCCAGTCACGCGGGCGCAGGCAATGCGCAGTCTTTCGGAAAAATCGGTGCCCTGCCCGGCCCGCCGCAAAACACGGCCCAGAATGGCCTTCACACCCTCCTTGAGGTTGATCGGGTTGGTGGGCGTGCTGCCCACAATGAACTTCCGATGCACGAAGAGGCCTCATCGTCGTGTCTGTCCCGGCAAGCTCCTTCTAACCAGGATCACCATTTCCGGTTCACCAGGGACCCCAGGGGGGATCCATTAAATCACGCGCGAATCGCCGAGCCCAAAGAGCTGAAAAATGCCCTCCGGAGGACGCCGGGAAATTGAATCAACGCTGCCATTTTCTGTTCCAAGTCCTTTGCCACATAGGAACAGGATGGGAGGCCCATAGACAACTGGTGACTACATGCACAATGGGTCTTCTTGGGAGAGGTCAAGGAAAAGCATGTCTCAGCACTCATGAGTGCAGGCAAATGCCCAGGGCCTCTCCTAGCACTTTGGATTCTCAGTACCCATCTTTCTTTTAAGACACAGGCCCCTCTTTCCCGTGCTGGCAATTGTCTGAAAAGAAGGATCCCTGGACAGAACAGTGTACAGCTGGATCCTTCTGCACTTCCAAGCACAGCACTCGCCTTCCCACCTGCAACCTCTTTCCCAACAGTGCAACCAACTTATTTTCCAGGCCTAACCCACACTTTCCCTGCATGCAGCCTCTGGTGCAACCAAACTCTTGCAGGTCAAATGTCAACGCCCTCTTGAGCCTCCAAACAAAGGCGGACAGCGGTGCCCCAAGATGGTGAGACAGGCACAACGCGCCACTGAGGAACTTTGGAGCTCTGAAAATCCAAGCAGAGGCTCAACATCATCAGCATCCCCGCAAAACGACGTGGACGGCATCAGCAGCCTTTTGGAGGAGCATCCTGCTGCATCACCGGCTTTGTGGAGCCAAAGGAAACCTTGCCCGTGCTATTCCTGGGCCTATGTGAGCCGCTGTAAATACTGTTTGTTCCCCCCGGCAATGGGCAGTTGGGCGAGTCCCCTGGGATACCGAACCGAACCAGCCCGGCCTTTGCCCACGTCGCCGCCCTCTTCCTTGCCCGCGGGCATGATGAAACCGAAGCCCTGGCCCAGGTTTGCAGCTGGGGATTGGGTGGGCTCGGCAGCGCCACCTGGAGCCTAGAGAAGACCATTTGTTGAGCCGAGCGTCAGGAAACAAAGCAACTTGCAGGGAAAAATCCCCGTGCTGGTGAAGCCAAGCATGTTCATGCAGAAGCACCGAAGATCTGTGAACCAACGTGTGCGCCGTAGAGATGTGCACACGTCTAAATATGTGCATGTGTGCATACTGTATCTAAACGAATCGATGACAAGTGTACAAAAGCATTTACACAAGAATGTGCACAAACGCCACCTCTACCCAGCCTACCCAACAAACCACGAAACCTGCACAGAGCACTATGTCAGCATTATGATGACTACAGCAATCAAAGCGAATGCAGTAAAATAGAGAGATCATGAGGACACCTGGCTTTGAGTGCTGGATAGTATTGCTCCAGAAGGTGTTAGTTTTATTCCAGCTGCATTTGTGCAGCCTCACGATTGCGTAGCAATGTTTGGGGTTCAGAATTGTGATACAGACATTCTTCCGAATGGTCATAATGCCAGAAGACCTTTGCACACGCACAACAAAGACATTCGCGAAAACTACTGCAAACATGGGGCCACAGAGTCAATGGATAAGCCGAGTGCTGAATCGAGCCAGCCAAACCAATCTCGACATAGCATCGACAACTTGAGCAAGTTACTATGTTAGAATTCATCATGCTTGCTTGGTCCTGTGCATTTCGGGTAGATTTAGTTTAGAGATCGGTCTGGGAGAAACAACCTGCATAGACCCCAGATAGCGAAACACGTGCCAACGATTGCACAAAGAGCACCTCAACCAAAAAAAGAAAAGAAAACAACTGCATCCCAAAGCAGCACCTGCACGAGAATCCGGCAAATTGCATGCCCCCTAGCACCCCGCCGTCAGTCTCGCAAATCACTTTCCTTTCTTTATTAGAAGCTAGAACCACTACAGTTTTCAGCTATCTGTGGAAAAACACAAGCAGAGTGGACGCAGGCCAATTTGAAGGGCTGAAGTTGCAGATGTTTGCCGATTCTCAGCAGGGAATGAAGGAGGTTTTGGGAAACCCAGAGATCCTACCAGTCAGATGGTTCATCCAGAACCAGCAGGATTCAAGGATTGAGTGTTGAAGATCCTCAGAAGGATCCTTAACCAAAACATTGATCCCAAGCTGCTTTAAGGGGTTCAAAGGAGTTTGTCAGCCTTGGAATCTGAATTTGAGATTCGAAAAGGAAAACCAGATACAATCTGCAAGCTGCATCGTCTGGAAACCGAACACTTGACATGCAAATGGCAACAACATATGAGCCATGGTCAAAACTCCTAATATGGCCTATGATCTTGTTTCTCGAAAGGAATCACCATAAGAAAACACAATAATGGGGTTTAAGGATCCCCACTACCAGGTGGATGGCCATCCCTGTTCACAAACCAAGTAAAGAGATCTTTTGACTATGGCGCATGTCCTGAAGGCTGGTGCCGCAAGTGCGAATGTACATCACTACAAAGGAAAAACACACACACACACACATACGCACACAAGTGCGCTTCATTGCGCACTGCATGTTCGTTGCATGCGCTGCACGTGCTTCATGTTGCAGGTGATGCGCCAGCTTTCCTACATTCCCACGTGTGAGTGGTGGAGGGCAGTCTGGGGACCCACCAACTCTCCAGGTCGACTCCTGCCTTCTCCGAGTCCCACTTGTTGACTCGGCCCTCCTGTCTGGCATCCTGGTACGGGCGCAGGCTTCATAGCGGGGAGGGTGCGGATTCCGTGTTTGCAGGCTTGCAACATAAGAACACCTGATTGCAGAAGAAAAGTTGGTCTGAATGCATACAAATGGTGTCAAATGGCGTTGGATTGTGTTTAATGGCATCTGTTTCACGTGCCGCTTGCCACATTGTCTTCCATGATGTCGATCAGGCCCCATTCTCCAAGCCACTCTTAGCACATGGGCATGGCGAGCACATGGGCACATGGGAACCCAACAAAAAGGTGAAGGATCCCCTCTTGAAAGCAAAATCTTGGGTTCAAGCCAAACTTGGGAGTTTTGACCGTGGTACCACCGTTCAAAACGCATTGATGTTTGCTTCTGCATTATCAAGGTTTACTTGAGTATGTCGCAAATTCGGGCCGACCCAAAAGCTGGTTCCGCGTGTTTCCCTTTAAACCAAGGGTAGCGAGCCTGAAAGGAAATAGGCATGATTTCCTCTAAACAAGGGAGTATTAACCAATTGGTTGGACCCTTTGTGGAAATGAATTGTATGGAAGTTTATGTCCAATAGGGCATTCCACATTGAACTTCAAAGGCACATGTGGAGAATGATTTTCGGGTGCTGCTTGTTCGGGAGTTTCTCAACGTAGTGGACGCCCTTTCAGTTGGTATTTAAAGGGGAACCCAAAAACAAATAAGAACCATTCTGGGGAACCCTATGTGGAGGAACCAAGAAAAATAACAACCATCTTGGGGAACCGTATGTTGAGAAACACCCGCTTGGCCTGTTCAAAACCAGAGGCGCGGCGCCAAAGGCGGCCTCCTCCTTCTCCTTCTCCGGCTTGGGCGCCGGCTCCGGCTCGACGGGAGGAGCCTCCGCCTGGCGCGCGCTCGCAGGTCTGGGAAACCACCGGGAAGCCAAAGGTTGAAACCACAAAAACCGACGTTTGCAACAATTCCACCAGGAGCCAACGACAAAACCTGGGCCTTCTTTGGCTGATGACTGGGGTTTTGTCAAAAGAAAGCTCCGACACCGGTGTGATTTGATAGATAACCGGACAAGGTCCAGAATTTGACAAACCCCAAGGGGCCCCTGGAAGGCTGGAGTCGGTCGCAATGGACGGATGTCCTTCCAAAGCAAGGACCTAGATTCAATCTGGGCACCGCCGCGATCCCTGACCCAAATGCAGGCAGCCACCGCCGTTCACTTAGTCTGTGTGGGCGAAAGAGAAACCAAAGCGTAGAAAGGCAAAATTCAACTGCCAAAGGCGGACCCGAGATGAAAGGGTCAGCCATGGTGCTTTGCAGGCGCTCCCAAAAGAAGAAGCGAAACTGAAGGCCTGCAGGGTGATGCCGTTCACCGTGAGTCCGTGTATCCATACCAATTGGACTGGCAGGACCCGTGCATGAACAGAACAAAAGGCGAAGGTGGCAGTGACGATCACCATCTGCAAAGCGGCAATCTCAGCTGGTCACGGATTGAAAAGATCGGGCGGCAAGATTGACACAACTACCACCTAGAAAGTACCACTTGGCAATCGTTAGGTCAGCGAGTAGCTTCGATCCCGTTCCCGGGTCTGTTTGACACTATTTGCGAGGCTAGGACAGCTGGCAGACCTCAAGATCCTTGATTTCCTTTCAGAAAGCGAATCTCAAAACAACAAATGTTGATATGGACTGTGTGTTATTCCCGGGATCAGAGAAACAAAGATTCGGGAGTATTGAAATGGATGAAATGGTGTTCCTGCCAATAAGTTGATAAGTTGTTGTTGTATTCAAAAGTCTGAAAGTCGTATCAAACCTTAAATGCTTGAACTTAAGCA